TATATTATCTTTGTATTTTGTAGTAAATAAACTTAGTATATACAGATTAAACATATAAGCACATGGAATTAGCATAAGGTAAATTAATAAATATTTTTGTCATCATCCAATTATTTGTTAAAATACTTTTTAAATCTAAAAGACATTTATTAAGCTATCTCCAAATTGAATTAAAGCTTTGGAAGAAAATGGTTAAAAACATGTCTTTATCAATGAGGACCGAGATACTTAAATCCAGGGCACAATTGCAGGCTGCCACATTGTTTTTCTAAGACCCTAGTCTCAGGCTTAAATATAAGGTTTAAAACATAAACTTCTTAATAATTCTTTGGCCTGTGACTTTTCCTTATCAAATCAAATTAATGTCATTTTTTAAATTATGCTTAAAACTATGTTAGAAAAACATTTTTGAACATAATTTAATTCATACGTATTTTAATTTCATATGCAAAATTTAATATCATTCTTACTTTTCTGGCTAAAACTCAATAAATCACATTCAATAAAAATCTTTAAATTCAAATTCATCATATTTTAAACTTTTGATTATTTATATATTAATTATTTGTTTGGAGTTCATCTTTCCAAACAGACAATTCTTTTTCTAAATTTTTTTTTATTCATTGTATACCAGTTTCAATTTTATAACTTCCTGGTAAATTATGTCATTTTGAACTCTCTTTTCTATAATAATGCATTTTGCCTTAAAGTCCCTTTTGCTTGATATTAACAGAGCTAAGTCAACATGGTGTGTCTATTGTTTTACATGCTTTTAATTTAAAACTGTTTGAGTGTACTTATATTGTAAAGTGCTTCTCCTGTGAACAGCATGTAATTTGATTTTCCTTTTCTTGTGCAGTCTGATTGTCTTTTTTTTTTAACTACTTAAAACTTTTTTTAACTACTACATTATTTTTAATATATTTTCTGTCTCGTTTTTCTACTTTCCATTTATTCCACCTCTTCCTGTTTTTTCCCTGTCTTATCCTTGCTTTCTTTTGGATTTATTATTGTTTTGACATTCCTGTCTATTTGTCTGTTATTATGAACAACCTCTCTCTTTTTTTCTTTTTTTGTTATTGAAGAAACACCGATGTATAACATTATATAAATTTCAGGTATACATCATTATATTGTGACTTGTGTATAGATTACATCATTTTCACCTCCAAAAGTCTAGCTGCCTTCTGTCACCATACAAATGTACCTGTTTATCTCTTTTGCTTTCCCTTCTTCTCTGGTAACTACCAATCTGTTCTTCATATCTGTGTGCTTGTTTGTTTAGCTTCCACATATGAGTAAAAGCATACGGTATTTGTCTTTCTCCATCTAACTTACTTGACTTAGCATAATACCCTCAAGGTCCATCCATGTTGTCACAAATGGTAAGATTTCATCTTTTTTATGGCTGAGTAGTGTTCCATTGTATGTATGTGTTCAAGATTTCTTAAGGTGGGTCTAGTGGCATTAAACTTCCTCAGCTTTTGTTTTTCTGGGAAAACGTTTATTTTTCCTTCATATTTGAAAAATAACTTTGCTGGATAGTTTTTATCTTTCACTATTTTGAATGTATCTTGGCTGACAGTTTTTATCTTTCACTGTTTTGAATATATCATTCCACTCTCTCCTGGCCTGTAGAGTTTCTGCTGAGAAATCTGCTGATAGACTAATGAGGGTTCCTTTTTAGGTTATTGGGTTTTTTCTCTCTGGGTGCTGTTAATATTCTTTCTTTGTCTTTAACTTTTGATAGTTTTCATATAATGTGTCTTGGAGAAGATCTTTTTTGCATTGAGATAATTAGGTGTTCTGTTAGCTTCATATACTTGTATATCCAGTTCTTCCCCAGGTTTGGGAAGTTCTCAGCTATTATTTCTTTAGATAAGTTGTCTGCTGTCTTCTCTCTCTCTTTGCCTTCTGGGATACTCATTATCTTTATGTTGCTTTTTCTAATTGAGTTGGATATTTCTTGTAGAATTTCTCCATGTTTTTTTTAAATCTTAGTTCTCTCTCCTCTTCCACCTGAATCATTTCTAGATTTCTTTGAGTTCACTGATTCTTCCATATGGTCTGCTCTATTTCCAATGCTTTTTACTTTATTCTTCATCTCATTTATTGAGTTCTTCAGCTCCAGAATTTCTGTTTGGTTCTTTTTTAGAGTTTCAGTCTCTTTGGTAAAGCACTCCTTCTGTTCATTAACTTTATTTCTGAGCTCATCAAACTGTCTTTCTGATTTTTCTTGTAGCTGGTTGAGTTTCTTCGTGATAGGTATTTTGAATTCTCTGTCAGTTAGATCACAATCTTTCATGCCTTCAAGTTTGGTTTCTGCAGACTTTTCATTTCCTTTTTGTGATACCATATTACTATAATTTTTCATGCTTCTTGATGAGTTGTTCTTCAGCCAGTGCAATTTTTTTGTGGTAGCAAACACCTTTCTTATTTGGGTATGGCTTTACTTTGATTCTGAGTTGGTTCTGGTTGTATGTGAGGGCCTGCACTTTCCATCCTTCACTGCCTTTGTCAGGGGTGTCACCAGTGCCCTCACTGTGCTGCTAGTGACTCCAAGGTTGATGCTGCCTTGTTGCTTATGGTGTTACTACAGTCATGGTCATTGCCCCTGAGGTCACCAGGCTGGCAAGCACCTCTATTGCTCCTGGGTCACCTGGGTCATGGGTTCCCAACTATGGATGGTGGAGGGGTAGAGTGGAATGGGAGTCAGGGTCTTGGGCACCTTCGCCACATCTGGGTTTGTTGGGTCTGCAGGCACTGCTGCGATGGGTGGGGGAGCCAAAGTTACAGATGCCACTGCAATTGGGGGGACCAGGGTTGTGGGTTCCACTGTCACTGTTACTGAGTTCTCCATGGACTTTCAACAGCCTCGGGCACTGCTGCCTCATGTGCTGCCTGAGCTGCTGCTCCCAGGTTTTTGGGGGTGCTGGCACCACTCCTGCCAGGGGTACCGGGTTTGTGAGTGTCACCACTACTGTTGTGTGGGCCAGAGTCATGGGCAACACTGTCACCACCATGAGGGGAGGAGTACATGTGTTATGGACACTGCAGGGGTTCCTGAAGCCTCTGGTCTTAGGCAACTGCATGGTTCCTGGAACCTCAGGTCACGGGCACTGCCACAACTGCCAGGGGCCTGGGGTCTTGGATGCATGCTCTGTCACTGAAAGGGCTGGTGTCATAGGTGTCACCACCATGGGAGGGGAAGTGGGCTGAGTAGCAGGTACCACTGTGGTTCCTGGGGCCTCTGGTCTTGGCTCTGGTGCAATTCCTTAGGCCACAGGCACTGCCACCACTGCTGGGGGTATCAGGGTCTTAGATGCAGCCCCCATTCCTGGGAGGGTTGGGATCAAAGGCACCATCACCAGGGGAGGGGTTGGATCACAGTTAGCGTTGCTAGGTCCTGGAGCCTTCTGTTGTAGGCACCACAGCAATTCCTAGGGCCTCTGAGAACACCCAGGGCTGCCTGGGTTCCTGGGGCCTCTGTTCGTAGGCATTACCACAATTCCTGGAGCCTCTGATCTCAGTCATGGCCATAGTTCCTGGAGCCTCCATTCCTGGGAGCTGCTGCCACTGCTCACTTGGTTCCATCACCTCCAGGAGGTACAGTCTACCCACTTTCAGCTGTTTAGATGTTTGGATCTCTCAGGTGTTCTGGTGTGCTGTGCAGAGAATCCTTTGTGGTCTATGGATGCCCTGCTGGTTGTAATGTAGAGGGGAGAGATAAAGGGAACAACTCTCTGGGCCATGATGCTGTCACCTCCTAAACAGAAAATTCTTAAATAATTGAAATCTACCAAAATTGTTTTCAGTTCAATTTAACAAATTTGTAACATCTGTAATAATCCTAGCTTTGTGTGTGTATGGGGGCGGGGAGGTGACAGTCCTTTATTTACAAAACTCACATGTTTATAATTACACAAATTTAAATTTGAGATTCTACTCCACACTTCCTGCTAGATTACATTCTTTACTAAAATAAAAACTAAACTGCAAATAATTTATCTACCCCTTGGTTCTTTGTAATCTTGTTAAACTCTGAGAGAGTAATTTTCATATGTTTTCATTTTTATATATTTCCTATTATTCAAAAGTCAAAAACTAGATGATCACTGTTGTAGTTATAGTCAGTAAAATATACTTCTGAGAGAAAAGTTCTTGGTTTTTCTAATGTTAGTGGGACAGTATCTACTAGGGTACAGATCCTCTTGTGATAAATACTCTAGGTTAATGTTTACTCTATTATTTCCAAGAAGGCTATGCCTTCTCAAGACCTCAGACACCTTAGTGATACTTTTTGAGGGTTTAACATTATATTGAGGCAATTGATAAAAGATTTCCTGACATCACCTAAATTAAGGTTTCCAAATATAACAAATAAAAATAATTGATGCCTAGTTATATTGAAATTTCAGATAAACAATAAAAAAAAATTTTATCAGTTATATGTCCCAAGCATTGCATCCTATATTAAACAATATTTTTTTTTCAGTGTACTTGTGTCCCAAACAATATTTTGGATTTTTTCTAGCAAAAACTTGGTGCGAGTTTGGTTTTAAGTCTATAAGCAAACCCAAATTTGTTTGTTTGTTGTTTGTTTTATCCTGCTTTGTTTTGTCTTGTTAAGGTCCTTAATAGGGTTTTGTAAGATATTGTGTATATTTCTGAGAATGACAACTAAGACATTTGTGGGTTTTGTGTAAACTTCATCTTTCCACATACATCATATCTCATTCTAGTTAGGATTTTAATTTTCTGGCTTCTTCTCTTAACTATATCAGGTATCTGGTCATGGTAAATCAAGCAAAATGCCCAATATAGGTCATCTTTGAAATACCAATTTTCAATTATCCTAAATGAAGAATATAATGGCTTAAAATAAACTAACAGTGTAGGGACTCCCTAATTGGCAAGTACCCATAAAAAGTTAATCTAGACTTTGGAAAGAAAACAGCATGATCAAATTTATTTTCTGGATCACAGAAAATTAATAGAGCATTCAGGGGCAATAAGCATGCACACATCCTCTGTTATGATCTCTGTCTCAAGCCACAAATCTTTCTTAATTGAAAGTAGGTCATATATGAAGCTTAAGTTTAGCATCCTTTGGAAGCAGAGCAATGTGTACATTGGGTCTATGTTCTGCAGTCCAAATCATCATTTTGAAAGAGCTAGTATTGCTCCATATCCTGCCATGACTACATCCGAATGCTGTGGACAAAAGATGACAAATCTGATGTTTGAAGAAACACTTTGGGTTTCTGGATTCTGCTCAGGGATTTATAGAACTGGGAAATACATTGTCTTCAAACTTACAATGAAGAAAATGTTGGACAAATAGCAAGTCCAAGACTTTTCTTGAACCCATTTCAATGATAAGGTCACAGGGCAACAACTGGCCCCAAATCCAAACAGACCCGGGAGCTAGTAGAGAGAGAAGTAACAGATACGAGTGATATTTCATCTGGGAACAGCAGCAAACCACTTAAAGCAGTTCAGTTAGGGAGACTGGTGTATTGGTGGAGAGACAGTGAAGCTTCTGGGGTCCAAAAATACAAGGAGAGCCTGCATATGTTTGCAAGATTTTGTTCCATGAAGCCCACTGGGCACTCACAGAAAAATTTGGGAGAGAACCCAGAAAATCTTTCCTGGGATGCAGAAAGGGGGAAAGAAATAACAGCCACCGCAGGAAGGATAGAAAACTCCAGTGGGGCCCTTCTCCCCAGCTCTCTTACAGAATAAAAGCTATTCTTTGTGGGAAGAGGGTTATATACACTGCTGTCTTGGGACTTTGCAGCTGCAGAAGGAACGGAAAACTTCCTCCACCATGAGGAAGAGTCGGAATACATGCTGGTTGAAGAACTACAATTAGGTGAAAGACAGGAGTATTGACAGGGCCACATCAGAGACCTTCAGAAATAGTGCCTGCCTAAGTTTGAAGCTTAATAAGAACATCACATACCTGCCTTTTCTTCTGCCTGGACCATGTTCAGGCTAATAAGCATCAAGCAACAAGTAAGTTGCAAAAGCCAGACTCTCTTTGAGGTGAAATGACAAGAACTAAAGCCGAGGTTGAATAGACGTGGAAAAATACTCTGGTAAAGTAGTCCTTACCCTAAACATAAGGTATTGCTAAAGGAATTAGAAATTGCTGGTTCATTGATATTGGTGCATACCAATAAGAAAAACCTCAAACCAAGCCCAAATTATATTTATATTACATCAAATCCCACACTAAAGGCCTAACAGACGGAAAGACATGCTCATTTCCAAGCATAAAAACTTATTTACCTCCATTTGAATGTTACTACACAAGATATCTGGTATTCTATTAAAAAAAATAGAAAACATATGACAAGGCAAGAAAAATACAAAAGGCATAATCAGAAACAGATTTAGATATGACATAGATGTTAGAACTGTACAAAAAAGAATTAAAATAATCGTGATTCCTATGTTAAATACTCTAATGAAAAGTTGGACAATATTTAAGATCAGGTAGAATTTCATAATAGAAATGGAAACTATAAGAAAGAATCAAGTGTAAATACTGGGAATAAAAAGCAGTGGTAACAGAGAAGAATGCCTTTGTCATGCTCATCAGTAAACTGGACACAGCAAGAAAATAAATAATTAAACAGGAAGATACACCTATAGAAATTACCAAAACTGAAACTAAAAGAGTACAGAAGACAAACAAAAGAGAAAGCAGCATCAAAATTTTGTAGGCCAACGTCAAACAGTCTTAACATACATATGACTGGAATCCCGAAGGAGAAGATAGAATGGGAAAGAAGGCTTTTGAAGAGATAATAGCCGAGAATTTTTCAAAATTAAAAACAGAAACCAAACCGCATCTCCAAGAATCTTAGAGAGCACCAACCAGATAAAACAAAACAACAAAAGAAACAAAAAATATTTTTGAAAACAGCAAGAGAATAAAAAAAAAACATTGTCTGTATATAGGGGCACAGATAACAATGATAAAAGGTTTCTCTTTATAAATCATGACAGCTATAAAAAATAGAATACTATTTTTTAAAGTGCTAAAAGAAAAAAAGGAAAAAAAAGACCAACAGCTATTATTGGTGAGGTTTTTGATTACTGATTCAATCTTGTTAATAGTAATCGATCTGTTCATATTTTCTATATTTTTCTTAATTCAGTCTTGATAGGTTATATGTTTCTAGGAACTAATCCACTTTTTCTATGTTGTCCGATTTGCCAGTGTTTAATTATTCATAGCAGTCTTCTGATTGTTTTTGTTCTTGTGGTGTCAGTTGTAATGTTTTCTCTTTCATATATAATTTTTTTTAATTTGAATCTTCTGTCTTTTTTTGTTGGTTAGCTAGCTAAAGGTTGTATATTTTGTTTATCTTTAAAAGAAAACAGATTTTAGGTTTTACTGATCTTTTCTATTGTCTTTAGTGTCTATTTAATTTATTTCCACTCTGATCTTTGTTATTTCCTTCCTTCTGCTAATTTGTGGCTTTGTTGGTTCTTCTTTTTCTAGATACTTGAGGTGTAAAGTTGGTTTGTTTATTTGAGATGTCTCTTTTTTTATTAATGTAGGTGTTTATCACTATAAACTTCCTTCTTAGTATTGTTTCTATAAGTTTTCGTATGTTGGTTTTCTATTTTCATTTGTCTCAAGATATTTTTTCATTCTTCTTTGATCATTAGTTGTTCTAGTAAATTTTGTTTAATATCCATATATTCGTGAATTTTCCAGTTTTCTTCTTGTAATTGATTTCTAGTTTTATAACATTGTGGGCAGAAAAGATGCTTGATATCATTTCAATCTTCTTAATTTTATTAAAAATTGTTATTTCACCTAACATTGATCTATCCTAGAGGATATTCCATGTGCACTTGAGAAGAATGTTTATTCTGCTGCTCTTGAATAGGATAATCTGTATATATCTGTTAAGTCCATCTGGTCTAATATGTCATTTAAGTCCAATATTGCCATATTGATTTTCTGTCTGGATGATCTATCCATTATTGAAAGTCAGGTATTGAAATCCTCTACTACTATTGTATTGCTGTTCATTTCTCCCATCAGATCTGTTAACATTTGCTTTATATATTCTAGTGCTTCTATGTTGGGTACATGAATATTCACATATATTATATTCTCTTGTTGGATTAACCTGTTTATCATTATATAACAGTCTTCTTTGTCTCTTGTTACAGTCTTTGGCTTGAAGTCTACTTTTTCTGATATAAGTATGGCTACCCTGCTTTCTTTTGACTTCCATCTGTCTGGAACATCTTTTTCTGTTTCTTCACTTTTAGTCTGTGTGACTAAAGCTGAAGTGACTCTCTTGTAGGCAGCAAGTAGTTGAGTCTTCTTTTCTTTTTTTTAATCCATTCAGTCACTCTATGTCTTTTGATTGGAGAATTTAGTCCATTTATATTTAAAGTGATTATTGATAGGCATGGATTACTATTGTCATTTTTTAAATTTGTTTGGTTGCTTTGTAATTCTGTTTCTTTCTTCCTCTCTTGTTCTCTTCCTTTGTGATTTGATGATTTTCTGTAGTGTTATGCTTAGATTTATTTCTCTTTATATTTTGTGCATCAACCATAGTTTTTTGCATTTGGGTTACCATAGGGCTTAAATAAAACATCTCATATTTATAATAGTCTATTTTAAGCTGATAACAACTCAACATTTAACTTTTACAAAACCTCTATATTTATACACCTCCTCACATTTTATATTTTTGATGTCACAATTTACATCTTTTCACACTGTGTAGCCATTAAAAAGTTATTGTAGTCATAATTATTTTCAATAACTTTGTATTTTAACCTTCACACTAGAGTTATAAGTGATGTACCCACCACCATTAAAATGTCAAAGTATTTGGATTTTAACCATATATTTACCTTTACCAGAGAGTTTTACACTTTGATAAGTTTTCTGTTACTAATTAGCATCTTTTCATTTCAGTTTGATGAACTCCCTATAACATTTCTTTCTTTCTTTTTTGTTTTTGTGTGAGGAAGATTAGCCCTGAGCTAACATCTGTTGCCAATCCTCCTCCTTTTGCTGAGGAAGATTGGCCCTGGGTTAACATCTGTGCCCATCTTCCTCTATTTTTATATGTGGGTCACCTACCACAACATGGCTTGATTAGCAGTGCATAGGCCTGTGCCTGGTATCTGAACCTGTGAACCCCAGGCCGCCGAAGTGGAGCATGCAAACTTAACCACTATGCTATTGGGGTGGCCCCCCTTTAATATTTCTTATGAGGCTGGTCTAGTGGTTATGGCCTCCCCTAGCTTTTCCTTGTCTACAAAACTCTTTATCTCTCTTTGCATTTTGAAGATAAATTTTTCCAGGTAGAGTATTTTTGGTTGGCAATTTATTTTCTTTTAACACTTTGAATATATCATGCAACTTCCTTCTAGCTTGCAGTATTTTTGCTGAAAATCTGTGGATAATGTTCAAGGGTTTCTATGTATGTAGCAAGTTGTTTTTCTCCTGCTGTTTTTAAGAATCTTTCCTTGTATTTAACTTTTTTTTTTTTTTTGTGAGGAAGATCAGCCCTGAGCTAACATCCATGCCAATCCTCCTCTTTTTGCTGAGGAAGACCGGCTCTGAGCTAACATTTATTGCCAATCCTCCTCCTTTTTTCTTTTCCCCCAAAGCCCCAGTAGATAGTTGTATGTCATAGCTGCACATCCTTCTAGTTGCTGTATGTGGGACGCCGCCTCAGCATGGCTGGAGAAGCAGTGCCTCGGTGCGCGCCTGGGATCCAAACCCGGGCCGCCAGTAGCAGAGCGTGCACTTAACTGCTAAGCCACGGGGCAGGCCCCTGTCTTTAACTTTTGACAGTTTAATTATAATGTGTCAAATTGTGGATTTGTTTGGATTCATCTTGTTTGGAACTCTGTGTGCTCCCTGGATCTAGATGTCTGTTTATTTCCCCAGGTTAGGGAAGTTTTCAACCATTATTTCTATGAATAATCTTTATGCCCCCTTCTCTGTCTCTTCAACTTCTGAGATCTCTATATTGCTTATATTGGTCCTCTTGATGATATCCCATAAGTCCATAAGAATGAAAAGCTATCTTACTCTTATTCATTCTTTTTCTTGTCCTTTGATTGGATGAATTCCATTGCCCTTTATTTGAGTTCTCTGATCCTTTCTTACACTTGACCTAGTCTGCTGTTGAACTCTCCTTTGAATTTTTTAGTTCAGTTATTGTATTATTTAGCTCTGTGATTTCTGTTTGGTACTTTTTTATATTTTCTATCTCTTTTTTTGAAATTCTCACTTTGTTCACACATTGTTCTCCTGACCTCAGTGAGCATCTTTATCCCTGTTATTTTAAACTTTCTATCAGATAAAACACATCTCCACTCAGTTAAAGTCTATTTCTGGAGTTTTATCTGTTCTTTTGTTGGGAACATATTCCTTTGTTTCTTCATTTTCCTTGAGTTTCTGTGTTGGTTTTTACAACCATTAGATAAAACAGCCTCCACTCCTAGTCTTGGCAGATTGGTCTCATGTAGGAGATGAACCTCACTGATCAATCCTGTCTGAGCTCTAGGTTGTGTCTCACACCTTTTGATTGTCCAAGCCACTTTCTTTGTTCTTGGCCTCCCAATAGGTGAGGGTATGCCAAGACCCATGAGTGTCCCAAAGGAAGGGTTGCAGTTAGCACATAGATGCAGGTTGATTGAAAACATCAGCTGGAAAAGTATATAGTTGGGTCCCTTTTACAAAGAAACTGGGAGATGGGCATTTTGCCTGCTCCCACTGAGTTTGGCTCAGGTGTATAGCTGTGAAGCAGGAGTGGTGCTTCTGAACCTACTAAGGACTGCTTCTTTGTTTGATACAGTTCTGTGGGACTCATGAATGCAAGCTGCATTGTGTATTAGAGCCAGGAAATCCAAGGCCTGTCCCTTGGGTGGTAGTCTTAAAAGCTGGAGTGCCAGACATGTGGACAAGCTCTTTCCAGGGAGATACTGATGGCTTGATGGGGGCTAGAGGGAGTGAGCAGGGGAGTTTTCCACAGACTTCCCTGGTCCAGGGAGGGTTTCAGTCAACCCCAGATGTTTATTAAATAAGAAGTTGATCCTCAGGCAGTTTTAAAATTATGAAAATAAACTCTTTTTAGGTGAATACTGGAAGATGGACATTTTTTGCTGCTCATTCTGCCCCAAGCCTGGGGGGATAGTCAATTGACAGCTGTTTCTTTGTTTGCTAAAGTACTGTGGGACTCATGAATGCAAGGCTAATTGGCTATTTGAGCCAGGCTTTCCTTAGGCAGCAGCTGCTAAAGCTGGGTGCAGATGTGTGTACAAGCTCCTTTCAGGGAGATGCTGGTGATTTGGAGTGGGCTAGATGGGGAAGGCAGAGAAGATGTCAGATGGCTTCTCTGGTCTCCAGTGAGGATGGTAGTATCCCCTAGATGCGTGTTAAATTAGAAGTCTGACCCTCAGGCAGAAGCTTTTAATGTATGCAAATAGATTCTTTTCAGGGAAAGACTGGGAGGTGAGCATTTTTTGTCTGCTCCCTCTATGCTGAGCCTTAGGAGGATAGCCATGGCTATTCCTTTAGAGCCTGTTAATAATTCTTTTTTTGTTGCTATAGTCTTGTGGGTCTCATAGACGGAAGCCCTATTGGTATTCAGAGGTACAAGTTTTGGGGGCCCATCCCTCAAGTGGGAATCTTAAGTTTGGGGTACCAGATGTGGGGTCCAAACCCTTCACTCCTCATGGAGAAGCTGTGAGTTGGGAGTTCTTCCTGATTATGTGTTTCTGTGCTGAGCAGTGGAGTTTATGGAGAGAGTGTGTCTCAGCCTTTCGTTCCTGTCTCAATGTGGATATTATCTCATTCACCTGATATGTAGGAGTCACTCAACTAGTTTCTGGATTTCTTTCTGAGGGAATTTCTCCATGTGTAGCTGTAAATTCAAGTGTCTACGGGAGGAGTTGAGTTCAGGGGCCTCTATTTTGCCATCTTGGATCAAAACTTCCCCAGACAAATATATATTTTAAAAAGAAAATTGCACAACAATATCATCATAAACTTTGATATAAAAATAATCAACAAAATTTTAGCAAATATATTTCAACAATATGTGAAAAAGATAATATACTATAACCATGCAAATTTTGTTATAGGAAAGCAAGGCTTGGTTAACATTGAAAAATAAATCAATGTAAGACACCATATTAATAAAGAAGGAAATCCAAATGGTCACCATAATAGATATGAAAAAATCATTTCACAAAATTTGACATCCATTTATTATAAAAACTCTTAGCACCCTAGAAGTTAAGTTAGATTTCTTATTCTGATAAAGGCATCTACCAAAAACATACAGCTCATATGATGTTCTTTCCTTTGTAAAACTTTTAATTAATAAATATAGAAGGAATGAAGAAAACAGAAAATCTCTATTTCTTAGAACTTCCTAGAACTACCATAATACTTGTTTCAGGCAAAATGCACAATTAGTGCTAAAGTTAGTGGGTGAAAATTTAAGAAGAAATAGGATATTTTCATAGTCTTAAAATATTTTCTTCAAAATATCTATAAATTACAAAGGCAAAAATATTAGCTTTAGAGTGGAGAATCATGGAAAATACCACCTTAATTAAGTGATAAAGTTCATAATACCAGTAATTAGGTTTATGACATCATGTTCTCCCTGATGTAATATCTTAAGATGGGCACATTACTCTGTTGAATTCTTACCCAAAATGAGTAATCATAATAGAATCATGAGAAAATATCAAATAAACACAAAGTGTGTGATTTTCAAAGTGGAGATACCACACATACTAGACGCTATATTAAAATAAGAGACTTTTATTTATTGCTCAGTATGACAAGATCTAACCTGAATCAGAAGGGACCTTGTAATATGTACAGAAGGAAGATGATAAATTATAATATTCAGCAGCAGAGGAAAAGGAGATCTTTTAATTATAATTTAGGAAAAATAAAAATATTTGAAAGAGAGGTAGCAGAAAACATATTTAAAAGAGTTCACGGCATTTCTCAATAAGAGTAAAACATTTAAGAGTTATTATTAACTCTTATTTTTAACCTTTAACATACATGACAAAAAGTATCAGCAAGGAAAAAAATGTATCTGCAAAGAATATGATTTTCTCGTGAATCTTTCAGCATCCTTACAAGTTTGATATGAAGAGACTGAAACCATATTTTTTAACAGGAAGCATCTTCCCTTCAATTGTAAATTCATACTCTGACATACTCTGCAGTCTTAAGTATTATTTGTAATTTCTGCATGATGGTTATGAAGGAGAAATGTTCATGGGAAGGTTTCAAGTGCTCCCATTTGCATTCTACATTGTATTTAGCTTTTAGGATTTATTTCTGGAGGTAGGCACATGACCACAAATGATATAATAAT